GGCGGTATTTCTGTGAGAGTTGGAAACACCTCATGAGTTTCTGCTCTACAGATCTGGGAAGTTCTGGGAAGTTCAAGGAGATCTCTCATTATTTTTTCAGAGAAGCTCAGAGATGCTTGGAGCCTTCTTATTTCTTGGGTTTTTTCTGCACAAGGCAGTTTTTGTGCTGTACCTAAAGAAGCGAGTTCACCGTGTCTCTACGGTAGCTCTCCACTTGGGCAGTTGGAGGTCCTTCTCTGGGAAGGCTGTAGCTTGTCTGTACTTGGTGGGTTAACGTTTTTAGGCCTGTTTTCAGTGACAAGGAGCCACAAACCATCTACTCTGCTTTGAGAAAGTGGTCTTTATTTTCTGGCAATGGTTGATTCTGTAACCATTAGCCTTGTCCTAGGCTGGATCTCTTTCTCCAGATCTATGGTGAACTTCAGCAAATGCAAAGCTTGTCTCTCGATGGCCATAGAATTGCTTTCACCCATGCTTGGTCCTCATCTCAGAGCTACTTGACTTGAGTGAACGTAGCACATGGGGTTTGTGGCATCGCATTCGCTGATGATTTTAGCAGCCAAACAGGCTGGTTGAAGAGCAAGTGATGAATTTCAACTTGTAGCTGAGACCAGATGCTCCTGGGGTGTGTTTTTTTCCCTAGAGCATGAAACAGCATGGCCATCTTCCCCACATCATCTCATAAGGTTGACAAGATTGATGAAAGGATGACACTGAATGGGAAAAACAAAGATGCAGGAATGGTTATAAGGGGAGCTGTGACCTATGTCATGCTCACCACCGTCTTGCTGATGACTGCATTGCAGTGTGTGCCGTTTCTTTTCCTGGGGCTGCTCATTTCTGTCAAAATTTTATTAGGTCTTTTGACTTTTCCCACCCAGAATCTCCCATTCGGGAGGACTTTATTCGCATTTGAATTTGCCAAGTATCAAATCTCCAGTGAGCGTTTGCAGCTGGCGATGAGGTCTTTCCCGACAGATGGATATGGGTTTTTTCACGCTCTTACTTCGGCATCATGTTTGTTCACAGACATTTCGTAATTTCCAATGCTGTGAGTTGATCTAAGTACCTGAGACTCAGATTTACCTGCTTTGTGCATCCTCTCTGGGCTTTGAAATCATCCCTGAAGATGGTGCCGGAGGGACAGGAGGTGGAGGAGGACCGTGTCCATCTGCATTGGCTCTGCCAAGCTGAGAATATCACCACAGTAGAGTGGTTAAAGAAAGAAAATTCAGACTTTTTATGACTTCGGGTGGATGCCCAGAGACTGATCCAGCATTGGAGGATGTACATTGCTGGCTGTCCTGTCCTCCTTTGCACATGGCTTCATTAAACTTGCAGGTCGCCTGGGTCAGCTGAAGAAGCTGGATCAGAGCGCTGCACCGGCATTGCTTCCTATAAAAGGATTTTAAAACCCTTTTTTGCCTTGTCCTCTTCAGTATGACCCCGAGCTCTCGTCTCGACAGTTTGGCGTGGAGCTCTCCCGGTTGACCAGCGAGGAGCGAGCGGTGCCGGTGTTGGTGGAGAAGCTCATCAACTACATCGAAATGCATGGGCTGTACACAGAGGGCATTTACAGAAAATCAGGGTCCACCAACAAGATCAAGGAACTGCGGCAAGGACTCGATACAGGTAAAAGGACTGAGAATAAAAAACCACATGGGGAGAAAAATCTCTGCAACGGCAAGGTTGGATGTAAGGAAGGTGGGGATGCTTCATCGGGGCAAAACAAGGGAGCAGTCCTGCCTTCCCTGACCGCAGGTTGTGAAAAAGCAAGTCATGCTTTCACATCTCCAACAAAAATCTGTTCTCAAGTCACTGACCCGTGCTTTTTGAGGTGTGATGCATGAAAAAAGTCATTTTAGTTGAGAAAAAAACGCTGCCTTAGAAATCCTGGTCCCACCTAAGGTTACTTGCCCTGGAAAATGCAGATTTTAAGACATGGAGCTGAAATCAGGTGATGGATTTCTTGACGTTGAACGTGGTGTGGTTTTGGGGTGGCACATGAACATTTTCTATCCTGGAGTAGCTAATCCATGCACTGGCTCCACTTATGGCTTCATATTGATTGTTGCCTCTTGTTTCTGTTCTTTCTCCTCAATCTGCTGCCAAATGCAGACATCGATAATGTGAATTTAGATGACTACAACATCCATGTCATTGCCAGCGTCTTCAAGCAGTGGCTGCGAGATCTACCCAACCCTCTCATGACCTTCGAGCTCTATGAGGAGTTTCTGCGGCCGATGGGTAAGAAGCCTCCTTCACTCTTCCATTCCCTTGGCAGAGGGAAACGGTGGCCACTTTTAGTGCCAAACTCTTTATTTACTCCTTGGACCCAAATGGGCTGGTTTTGCCAAATCATTTTCACCTGATTTCAAGGTCTGATTTTTTTGGCCATAAGGGTTATTTCATGCAAAGCCACGGGTAGTTTGGTCTTGCCTTTGGTAGCATGCGTTTGCATCATGGTTCAGCGGATTTCAGCCCAAAATGTTACCCAGAAGATCTGTCTTTAAAGTAGTAAAAGTAAGCAAGCATTAAGAAGACATCGTTTTATATATGAGGAAGAAGTGGAAGCTGCCCCTAAGTGCTGGTGCTTTCTCTGCAGGCCTCCAGGAGAGGAAGGAGACGGTGCGGGGAGTGTATTCGGTCATTGACCAGCTCTCCCGCACCCATCTCAGCACCTTGGAGCGTCTCATCTTCCATCTGGTGAGGTACGTTGGGCCGAGGCAGCTTCTGGCAACAGGCAAGGGGAGGATGTTCAGACATTCTTTTGTACCAAAATAGCCGAGACCAAAAGCAGGTGGGCAAAGGAAAGGGAAGAGCTTTCAGGTCCATCGTGTCCCCCGGGAGGTGGCCCCAGAGCCGTTTCTCCAAATGATGCTCATGTTGATGAGCAACCTCCGCAGTGCTTTGGTTGCTCATGGTGCCTGCGGGTCTGTGGTGCCTCTTGCCACTCCAGGGACAGGTCATGGCCATGTGGAAGAGGGGAAGTGGAGGTGCCTTCAAGTCTGACTTCTCTCTTAATCCCTATTTTTTTCAGAATTGCCCTCCAAGAAGAAACCAATCGAATGTCAGCTAATGCCTTGGCTATCGTCTTTGCTCCCTGTATCCTCCGCTGCCCCGATACGACAGACCCGCTGCAGAGTGTTCAGGACATCAGTAAAACGACCACGTAAGAACATGGTGCTGGGTGATCCAGCTCCATAACCATTGCCATGTCACTGCTCACATCTTGATAACAGGACGGTCAAATGGCTCAAGAATAGCGAGCTTTAGCATGGAAATTATAAACACGTGTTACATGCATCTTCATGGAGATATTGCGTATTCTCTCAGTCCCCAAGAGGTTGTTGAATGGGGGTTTTTAAGCAATGGAGCATCCACAAGAGCAGATCAACTTGCGCTCCTGCCCAGCACATCTCAGCAAGAAAAGGTGGCTCTTGTGCTGACGTGGTTTTGTAATTAATCCCATTTATGACAAGCAGATCTTTATTCTTACTTAATTTTGCCTTTTTTATTTGAGGAGATGAGCTTGTTTGGTCTGCAGCAATATTAATATCGCGTACTTAGATTTCTTTAAGGTATTTGACACAACTGCAACAAAGATTTTACAGAGAAAAAGTGAAACCCTTGCCCAAATTCAGCCTGGCTCATATTAAATAGATTTTAAAATAGATAATGGGGACAATGATAATAATGGAAACCATCCAGTGAAGGGCTGGGCTTCTGAAAGAGGTGGTTTTACCTCCAGAAAGTGTATTGAAATCGTTGAAGACCAGAGAATGTGCTTCGACACCCAGCTGATAGGAGCACTCATCCCTCTACGGGATTTCGTTGTAGCTTCTCCCTTAAGCTTTCGCTATAGCGCATGCTCCAATTTTATTACACAGAAAGGATTATTTTTTTCCCCAGACACGCTCCTGATGGCATTAAACAGTCAGCTCAGCTAAACGAGCTTGCTGCAGCATTACTGCATGCAAGCAAGTCTGAATTTGTGGCTTGGAAGCAGCCTGCCTTTCCCAGGCTTCTGTTTCCTTGACCCTTCTTCAAGGAGGGGATTTTCTCCGGTGGAATCCTTAGGGGTCTTTAATTTCTCTAGTTTGAGTTCCTTGATCCAACCGTAGCCCATTTTCACTCTTTTTAAGGGGAATTTCCACTACCCTTGTGTTTCCAGCTGGACGTTTCTCCCTCTGTGCCTTTCCAGAAGGGCAAATCTTTGGGCAAGACAGGGCCAACTCAGATCAAATAATTTCATCCTCCCATTTTGTCTTCTTTTGTGGTTTTTTTCCCCTTAGTTGCGTAGAATTAATCGTCATCGAGCAAATGAACAAGTACAAGGCTCGTCTCAAGGACATCAACAGCCTGGAGTTTGCGGAGAACAAAGCCAAGAGCCGCCTCTCCTTGATCCGCAGATCCATGGTGAGATGCCAGAGCCAAGTCTGTTCCCTCCCGTCCTCTCCTTGCCCCTGAAGCAACCCTACCTGATCTTCTCCTGCTTATTCCAGCCTCCCGAACCCCTCCCAACCTCCCTCACCATCTCCCCCAGGACAGGGACCCTGAGCCCTGTGGTGCCTCCTCGCCTTTGTGGGGAGTCATAGCAAAGCACAGGAAGGTGGGAACGGTCCATGGAAATTTGGTCGCTCCAGCTCAGATGCTCCCGTTCAACGTTTCCACTTTCATTGGAGCTTGTTTGGTCCTGGGTTGAGTCAAGCCTTTCATTGACCGGCTCAGTGTCACCCCATGGGAGACCTGGACCATCCTTTTTCGTGCTCAGCTGCATTTTATGAACCCCAAATTTGCTCCCCAAAGGCTCTCCCTGCTCCCACGCTGCCTTTTTGGGAGCCTCAAACCCATCTCATTGAGCTTCCATGCTTCCCCGGGGGCCGGCGGGCTGCAGATGAACGCTGCGCTTGGCTTGTTGGGCTGCGGGAGAGGGACGGACTCGGCGCAGCGCCGTCGTCCTAGGCTTGGACTGAGGAGTCGAGCGGCCCCTCTGCTTGGACCTGCCCACTGTGGTCCTCAGGGACACGTTGCTCCTGCTTTTTTGGGGACGAAATCCAAGCAGGGCCTGCCCGAGGTTGTGGGGCTGGTGCTGCAGAGCTGCCCCGCTCATCCCAGTTTAAAAAAAAACCCATAAAAACGAACAAAAATGGGTTTTTTGGAGGGGCAACGGCATGTGCTCTCTAACCTTCTGCTTTCCTTTTCATCTCCTCTCTAATCCAGAAACCCGTACTAATTGCAGTTAGATTTATGAGCATAACCCGCAGTTCAATCCCGGTATGTATTAACTGCAGCGCGCCCTGCGCCAGCCGCCGCGTCCCTCCGTTGTCTGTCACCGCCGCTCATTCCAGCCTCGTCCCACCGGCCATTGTCCGTGACGTTGCCCGTCCTGCCCCCGAGCGGGTGCCGCTCCTCAGAGCCGGCGCCTGCCCCCGAGCGGGTCCCGCTCCTCAGGGCCGCCGTTTCTCCCACAGGTCCCCCGGGCGGCAGGAGTTCAGGATGGCTGGTGCTCAGCCATCCCTGCACGCAGCTCCTCAAAAAACCACTTTCCATCCCTTTTCCCCTTCCTACTTTTTTTTTTATTATTATTTTCTTTTCTTTTTTCATCCTGTGCTTCCCTCTCTTTTTGCTTTACTTGACTCATCCCTTCCCTTCCCACCCCAATTTCTGCTCGCTCAGGGTGCACTTCTGCGTCAAGTTGCTTTCGCAGTGCTGCTGTATCTCAAGATGGTGGATAAAACCCCCGGCTTGGGTGCTTCAGAGACCCGGAGGTGTCCAAAGGTCTCCTCCACCTTCTTGGAGGAGGAGCACCACCACCACCTTGAACTCAAGGTTCGGGACACCCAGGTTTGAATTGGGAGGGGTCCAGCAAACCCCCGTATTCCCCAACTCCATCTCAGCTTGAGTTTGAGTTCCCAGCGAGACCACGACAGGCGAGAAAAGCACCCACAGGTTTTTGGGGGTGCTCGCGGGGCTGTTTCCCTTCCTACCAGGTTCAGCCCGTGGTGCTTCTCCCCATCCTTCAGCGTCCGTGAGGGTCAGGAGATGAGAAGAGCAAAATCCGAGCTCTGCTCCTCCAGCACTGTTTTCGCAAGCACGCCACTGCACGGGGGCTTAAGTCCATGAGCCAGTGGGATCTTTGGGATCTCAGGGGTTTTGGAGAACAAGACTCTGGTAGCAGCACTTCAGCTCAGGAGCCCACGTGAGAAGGTGCCATCAGAACATCTCCTAAGTCCTGGTCAGTTCAGGATCTTGAGTTTAGAAGATACGATGTGTCTAGTTATGGTAACAGTTAAGATAAAAGCTTTTTAATGTCCGTGGTGCCCCTCATCCCCAAAAATCCATCTTTTTATTCTACTTTGTGGAGCAGATCCATAGACCTGGTCCTTGGAAGGTTAAAGCAGCTGCATGTACAATATTCCTCCATACATACTACCCCAGTTTGAGTCCTTTTCCATCACTGGTTTTAATATTAAAAAAAAAAAAAAAATAGATGGTTCTTCAGAGCTTTTTAGCAGGGACCACTGCATCAAATCTCCCCGTTTAACCACGGGTGCAAAAATTAACATTTCTTGTCTTATAACAGACCATTGGAGGTGGTCTTGGTTTATGGATCTCATGTACATGACGTCAGAGCGTGGGCAACGTGATCAGATGCGCGTTACCATTTGCCGAAGGAGTCAGTGGAGACCCTTGCGATGCTCAGGAAATACCAAGGGCAGGCGAGGAAAGGCTGCAAGACGTGATCTAATGATAAGGCCATAGCTGGGTACATCAAAGCCCTGGTGGTGCTCCTGCCCAAAGCCAGCGTGGCCACCTGGCAGGTCAAGCTTCCCATCACGCGGGCTGTGGGCTTTGCGGAAACCCATCCTGCTGCCAGCTGGGCTGGCGTTGAAGTCCAAGTTGCACTTGGTCAGTCAGCTGGTAGCTGATCCATCAGCTCCATCCTCACCGCCTCCATCCTCACAACCTCCCATCCTTGTCCCCTCCAACGCGTTGAGTCCTTCTGGTACCTCTCCCAGCCTGGGGTGAGATTTTGGAGGGTCCTGGGTGCGACCGCCGGTGGTGCACTGAGGACCGGTGGCCGGGGCCATCGTCTTCGCTCCTGGGGAGAGCCATGTGGTTGGCACCTGAGATATCTGCCGAATCACCGTGGCTGGTGGTGGTGACACTGTTGTCTCTCTTCAGGGCAAAGGACGTGTGCGACGCGGTGCCTACCCCAGCCCAACGTCTCCCGTCGCTGTGCGTCTGCCTTCGGTAACGGATGTCCCCGAGGAGACCATGAGCAGTGAGGAAGCCATGGAGATGGAGGTGACAGAGCAGCAGCAAGCAGCCATGCAGCAGGAGGAGAAGGTGCTGACCGAGCAGATCGAGAGCCTGCAGAAGGAGAAGTGAGTCCCGGCCAGGGGTTCAAGCTGCTATAGGTTACATATGGATGTTACTTGACATCATATGGTTGACATGCTGCTCATAGGGTGAGCTGGAGGACTCCATCCCTCCGTGATGTCGTGGTGTACACTCATCCCTTTCTTCTCCTCCCCGCCTTTTCTGTCCTGTCGGGTCAATGGCACCGGGTCTCTTTTTGGCAGGGAGGAGCTGACGTTCGAGATGCTGACGCTGGAGCCCCGCGCCTCCGACGATGAAACCCTTGAGTCTGAAGCCTCCATCGGCACTGCCGACAGCTCTGAAAATTTGAACTTCGACTCCGAAGGAGCCGTCTCCGATCGCTCGGGTAAATCCTTGTATTCTTGGGTTTTTCCTGGAATGGTTTGGGTTGGAAGGGACCTTCAAAGGTCACCTAGTCCAGCCGCCCCGCAATGAGCAGGGTCACCTGCAACTAGCTCAGGTCGCTCAGGTTTTTTGATAGGCTTGGGGGGCGTTATTTGGTTTTTCCTGCCCCCTCGATGTACAGCAATTTAAGTGGGTGTAAAGAGGGGGGTTAAGGCTTAAAACACGTGGACCTGGGGAGGTGGGTGGTAACCCCCAAGGTCTGACGGGGAGGTGGGTGTTCCCCCAGCGCTGCTGCGTCATCCCGGGTGGTGATGCTACCTCCAGCGAGATGCCGGGGACGTTGTCCTGGCTGAAGAGCATCCATCCCCGGGGAGCGGTGCCGAGGTGCTGGGTGGTTTCGGGGCGTTAATCCTCCGGTGGTCCTTCTCCCCCCGCCCAGAGAGAAGCGTAGCACTTACCTCCCTGCGCCCCGC